CTGATGGGGTTAGAGAAGCAGCTAGATATGGCAGGAATGTGGAGATGAGAGAGAAAGATGAGAAAGGAATCCTACATGACCGGCATCTCGAAGATTTTCTGGAGATAACAGTCCTTAGGTAGCCAATCACGTGGCAGGAACACACATAAGTAAAAGTGCCTAAGACAGGACTATCTGTATGCAGAATTCCTAAAACTCCTTCTCTTTTTTAGCAGTAGGCTTGTATTCAAATGCCTATTTAATGATTTTATCCTACATTAGGTATGAAGATCCTTCTTTGCACTATAGACTGTGGGTCTTGAGCACTCTGGCAACACAAGAACCAGAACTCTTTTATGTCTTCAAACTTCTTGGGATTTAATGTATAAAAGTAGTCTGACCCAAGCTGCATTAACATGTATCTCAATTTATTTGTGGAAACAGGCCCAGAGCTGCCCAGAAATCAAGAATATTTTTGAGTGAATGCTTGTGGATTTGTTACCATAATAAGTGTATTGTGATAATCATACTCTCTCAGTAACCTGCTTACAGAACTCCCTCTACTTAGCTTTCCCTCAGACTAGCCTTAATTGACTCACAGTCAGTTTTTCATCAGCCAGTTTCTCTTCCATGCTTGGCATCTTAAATGTTAAAGACAATGTTGTATCTGGCTGCTGAGTCAGGTGAAAAAAAACCAAGTACATAGTTAATGCTGAGAAGCCATAGCTAATATGATTTAAAATTACAGCGGTATTGCAGAGAGATAAGCTCCTTTCTGATGGCATTTCCTTTCTCTTAACCTTTCTCAGTTAACAGCAAATTTTATGGTACTTTTTTCTATCAGGCCTAAAACCAACCAAATATTTTTTACACCATAATTATCATGACATAGAGGGACTAAGAATATATAGACATTCTGAAAGTATATCCATCTATCTCTTAGTGTTACAGCAGTTTCAAGAATCACTGCTCATTTATCCCTGCTTATTCAATGGAAAGAAGGAATGCCCAGAAAGAATACAATAAATAGTAAGGCATTGGTATAGTTATTTAAAAGGATAGAGGTCTTTTAGTATATATACTATAATAGTTAAATTTTCTCTCCTTCTTTTCTTTTCTAAGGGACAAAAAGAATGAAATCAAGAGATCAGATGATCTGAAAAACTGCACTCATCTAAATGGCCACTATGGTTATCTAAATTCTTTGAGACACAGTTTTTAATATTTTCACTACTTAAAACTGCACACCTTAGTAAGCCTTTTCTCTGTGACAAGGATGAAAAACCTACAGCCTCAGCTCCCTTGTGCCATTCCCAGTGTAAATTTTCTTCCCTGTGCCTTCTCACCATACACATTTCAGATGCTTTTACCCATCAGGATCTTTTCCTGACCAATATGCTGCTGGTTATCAGTCGGAGCTGAGCTGGTGGAAACAGATCTTGCCCTTCAAACATGTTCCTGGTTCCAGAGCTGTAGCCTAGGGCTCGGATTAGCTTAGGAGCACTTCTCCCCTCACCCCATCCATGGATAATTAATACACCATGAAAGACTTTAAAAGATTTCTATTGCTGGGGTATTTTTAATCTCGAGAAGTTTAAGAACAATTAAGTCCTTCTTTATACCTACTCCATTCTCCTATCCCTTAATTTTGTCTATAGGTTTGACCCTTAGCACAACTGGTTCTTGGGTGGATTTCACACAGTTCCTTCCCCAGGTATAAGTAAGTGAGAAGATTCTGGTTGGTTCCCCTGTCCTGAAACTTGCTGTGAACTTTCTTCAGAGTTGCCCCTAAAGTGACCCTGGAAGAATCCTCAGTCTTCAAACTTCTGTAGCCTGTGTCTCCAGAGAAGGTGCCAAGAAGCTCAGCAGAACCAAGGCTGGTTACTAGAGACACCATTCTGTTAATACCTAAATACAATCACTATAAATATAATTATTCAATCATAATCTGTTATGGTGGAAGGGTAGTCATTGGCTTTGGAACTAAAGAGACTGAGTATCATTCGAATTTACCATATGTGTGGTATTATTACCAGCAATAATAACTTCTGCTCCATGGAGTTACAAGGAAAATTAAATGATCTGCATAAAGGACATAATACTGAACTAGAATTGAGATTAGGTACTCAATAAATATTAAGCTGTTCTATATCGTGTTTATTTTTTGGTGTACACCAGACCAAAATATAAATTCTATAAATATGTCCATATATCATACAAACTTTCACATTTAGGTGGGTGCTTTTGCTCACATTAAACTTCTATGTTGGTAGAATCTGGAGGAATAAATTATGTTACAAGCCAGGCAGAGCATAGAAAGGGCCTAATGATTACAGAATGGAAGAAAATATTCACAATCTACACATCTGATAAAGGGCTAATATCCAGAATCTGTAAAATTCAAACAAATCAGCAAGAAAAAAACAAACAACCCCATTAAAAAATGGGCAAAAGACACGAACAGAAGTTTTTCAAAAGAAGACAGACAAATGGACAACAAACATAAAAATTGCTCAACATCATTAATCATAGGGAAATACAAATTAAAACCACAATGAGATATCAGCTTACTCCTGTTAGAAAGGCTTTCATTACAAAGTCTAAAAACAATCGATGCTGATGCAGTTGCAAAGAGAAAGAAATGCTTATACACTGTTGATGGAACTGCAACTTAGTACAACCCCTATGGAAGACAGTATGGAGATTTCTCCAAGAACTAAAAGTAGACCTACCATTCCATCCAGCAATCCCACTACTGGGTATCTACCCAAAGGAAAAGAAGTCATTCTATCAAAAAGACACCTGCACTCAAATGTTTATTGCAGCACAATTCACAATTGCAAAGATGTGGAATCAACCCAAGTGCCCATCCATTCATGAGTAGATTAACAAAATGTGGTATATATATATACCATGGAATACTACTCAGCCATAAAAAGGATGAATTAATGCCTTTTGCAGCAGTTTGAACAGAATTGGAGACCATTATCCCAAGCAAAATATCTCAAGAATGAAAAAACAAACAACACATGTACTCTGTAATAAACTGGAACTAACTAAAGGGCACACAAGTGCACAAAGGGAAGTAAAAGTCACTGGAAGTCAAGCAGGGGGAGGGGGAAAGAAGGGAGAGGCAAAAACCCACCTAATGGGTACAATGAACATTATTTGGGTAATGGGCACATTTATAGCCCCGACTCAAACTGTGTAACAAAAACATTTGTACCCCCTTAATATTTTGAAATAAAAAAGTAAAATAAAATAAAAGTATTACCTAATCAAAGAAAAAGAAAGGGGCCTAATAATTAGACCTCTCTTCTAGCTTCTACTCAGTAGTGCTTTTATGTTAATTAATAGAAGCAGCATGTGATGTAGAACATGACCAGGGGAAATTCTGAGTTTCACTGAAATCATAGCCATGACATAATAATTGTTTGAAATATTATTCACTTCAATCCAACAATTTTTTATTGAGAATGTTACATTCCTATATGACCAGAATGAACTGTACTTCTATACCCTGATTCAAAGCAACCGATAAAAAATATTTTCTAAAAATCACATCAGATAGAGCCAGAAGCTATGAAACAATTTTTTCCCAAAGCTCTGGATGCTCTCATTGAGAAAAATCATGTCAAAGATATCTGAAAAGATGATTCTTCAGTTACCTTATTTATATTTACCAACAAAATATTTTTCACCCCCAAACTGCTGCAGGTTTCTGTAAGAATATATATATTTCATATACAGAGGTCAGGAGTTTGAGACCAGCCTGAGCAAGAGTGAGACCCCGTCTGTACTAAAAATAGAAAGAAATTATCCAGACAGCTTAAAATAGGGAAAAAAAAAAAAAAATGAGCCAGGTGTGGTAGTGCACGCCTGTATTCCCAGCTACTTGCGAGGCTGATGCAGGAGGATCGCTTGAGCCCAGGAGTTTGAGATTGCTGTGAGCTAGGCTGATGCCACAGCACTCTAGCCTGGGCAAAAGAGCGACACTCTGTCTCAAAAAAAAAAAAAAAGAATATATATATATTCTATATACATATGGATCTATTATTTCAAAAGCCAGAAAAATTTCTTCCAGGAGATTACCAAGAGCATTAGGAACATTCTGGACCTAATTATAGTCACTTTTGTCAAGATAAAATTTTAAATACATTTTCTTGGGGTAAACTAAAATTCTTGAAGCTATGCAACACAGATAGCATTTCTTCAGGAGACACTGTGGCACTGCAAACTCCCTGAGGAATAAAGACCAATGTGAATACGATACAAGTCAGTAACATCCCAAAGCAAATATTGTGCACAGCTTTACTTGAAGACAAAATAAATTTTCAACTCGTCACCTCCTTTTACAGGTTATAACCAAGGATTCAAATGATGCTCTGATGATATAGAAAATAATAAATCAGAGTCTCATTTGACAGCAGCTGGAGAACACCCAAGGCATTTAAGCACTATAAAGCCTGAGTTTTCAGGCATGCTGCTCTCTTCATACTGATGAAGATGGAGAATACTGAAAATTATACTGCAAGAGTACCTCGCTGCCAAATTTTAAAATTTTGCTATTTTTCCTTGTAACAATTCAGCATGCAGGTATGATTTCCAAATATTACAAACATTCATATGTGTAATTGGATAAAATTTGACCTAATTCTTCTCCCAGCATTATCTCCTGACATTCTCCTGTTGAATATAGAAAAATAAAGGTAACAATAATCTCAAATGCTAGTAAGATAATGTGATTTGGAATCATAAGAGAAAATAATTTTTCAAAAACAAGCAATTTATTTTGCTAAACTCGTCTTAAATTGTAAATTGTCACCCTCATTCTAAGACATCTTAGTTCCTAAGGATTTATATTTGTCCTTACTAGAGTTTTAGGTGGTTTCTTAGTGATTGGGGTTAGATTAGTCCTTTATATCTTCCTACCTGTTCACCAGATTACCCTAGTCCTTCTATAATGACAAAAATGAATATAATTATTTTATAAATAAGGAATTTATAAGTGAGATCCTTACCCCTAAATATAATAAGATTCCATAGAACATAAATCTCCAGAAAAAGCATCGCCGAAGGGCATTAATGAGTTTGGGATTTTTCTTTGAAGCCAGCTCTCTATCCCATTCTCTGCAAAAGAATAAAAAGTGGGACCAATAAGTTGCATGTGCAAATATTTGAGTTGTCCTATTTCCCTTAACATAGCTGGATGAACTCAAGTATATCCAAGGAGATTGACCCAAGAGATTACAGAGACAAAGCCTCATGGAGATCCTCCAACACCAACTGCTCAGCCAAATATTTGGCAGAATTCCATGCTCCCCCAATATATCACCCTGTGGGGAGTTGATTTCATGAAAAGGCCACATTGTATGTGTTTAAAAAAAGTGTTGGGCTTCTTAAGAGCAATGAAAAGGGTGGACAAATAAAATAAGATGCTCATGGATATAGTGTTGTGCTTAGAACAAGGTGGAAAAAATAAACACATAAATATCCTAATTTTTCCTCCCATTTCTTGATCTTTATTCGTACAAAACTGTGGCAGATTTTACAATATTTAACTGTCAAACCAAAACAATTTAAAATGTCAGGTGCCTTTTTCTGTGATTTAACATGAGAAAAACCTGCTAGACATTGTTTTTAAAAGCAGAGGCATGTAATAAATATCATCAAACTTCATTTTCAACTACTAAAATCATTTGTTATAGTAAAAGTCTTGGAAAAGTGAGAAGAGGATCAAATTGTATATTTTCTGGTAAGAATAGAAATTAAATAGTCTGAACACTGGCTGAAATCTAATAAACTTTTTGTTTTCTTTTAAATACTATAGGAACATTGGCTGATTAAATTTAAGTTTTTGCCACTGATCTCTCTTAATAAAAGCCCTTTTTCTCTTCACAAGGAAATAAAATATCTCTAAATGTTACCTTCATCTTAATTTTTATACTGTGCAGAGATGAAAAATTTCATAACCCCTAAACAAGAACTAGATAAAGAATTAGATAAAGACTTTGCATTTCATCAATGGCTATCACCATTACTATCAAGTTACCATAATTAAACATCATCCTATGTCAATCCAAAGGAAGGACACACAACTGAGATTTGAAAACAAGCTTTGTAGTTTCTGTGCATAGACCTTGGTTCCCCCCAGAAACTTGCTAACTAGAGCCCGTCTATAAAGCCTAATCACCCTTTCCCATCTATATCCCCACACTCTCCCCCACCTTTCACTCACACACAGAGCTTGCCTCCCATCCATAATACTCAGTGACGTACAAGAGGGTAAGAAGCCAAATATGGAGTAGAGTCACCCTTCCATCAAAGGAGAAATTGGTCAGATGGGAAAGCCAGGAAGGAGGAGGAGGAGGGAAACCAAAGAAATGGCTCCAAGGTGAAGCAGTGGTCAACACTAAAGTAATACAGGAAGGTGTCATATTTGATAAGTAAGAGGTCTCTGGTGAGCCTGGTCAGTGTACTTAGGAACATGGTAGAAGTAGAAACTATATTTCAGGGAACTGAGATGTAAATGAAAGGTGAAGAAGAAAAGAGACCAGGAGAGCAGAGAAATGTTAACCACAAAAGAAAAGAATGGGGTAGTGACCAGAGGGGAAGGCAAAGTCGGAGAATTTTTCTTTTAATAGGTGAGACTTGAACAATTCGTAGCCTGAGAGAACAAGAGTAGGTAGTGTGGTTCTAGCAGCACTATAACAGGCCCAAATCAGAAAGGAATAAGTTCTATACATATAAAGTTCACGTATTAGCTATAATCATGGAATGGATATATGGTTTGCACACTGCAGTTTTGTGGAGGACTCAACCTCACAGGCTCAAAATTGAGCCAGTTGGGCCAATGTACCTCAATCATGTGGCAACCACTGAGGGCCTTGGTTACAAGGCAGTTATGAAATGTGAGGCCAGGGTCACTTCCCAAGGGTACAGAGGTACAGAGTATTATAAATGTTATGCCACTCTTTCGAAATGTTTCAATAAATTCCAAATGCTAATTTTATAAGAAAATAAATGAATAACAAGGTGAAGAAGAGAATTTATGGACTTATGCTAGCACAGAGTTGTTGAATATAAACAAAATAGGTATATTTTAAAAACTGAATCAAAATGGAGGACACAATGAAAACTGAGAAAAAAAATGTTAGACCAGTTAATTCTGCAAATTCAGGTGTATGTCCTCTACTTAGCCATAGATAATATCATATCTATAGTATACATTTTTCAATTAACTCAGCCTTGCTCTGATTAATCTTTCCTTCAGCATCCAACTAAAACTTAGATATTTAATATCGATTATTTTGAACTTGCTAATACACCTACAATGAATTATATTTATGTATTTCATCTCCACAGCAATGTTATACGTTTCTATGTAATGCTAGCCATTTCATATTCAATCATTCATTCATTCAATAAATATTTATTGAGTACATACTAAATGCCAGGACCTGTTCTAGGCACTTAGAGATATATCATAAACAAAACAAATCAAACCCAGTAAAAACAAAAAAACAAAATATCCCTGCTTCATGGCCCTTACACGTACCAGGTGCTCAATAATAGGAGTTGGCCCTTGATCTTGGAAGTATGAATCTGCTACTCTCACTAGCCTAAATTCTTTGAACAAAATCAGAAAAATAAGGTTTAATATCTTACGTTGCTTTGAAAATGTCAAAAAGAAATACATTCAATTAAAATAAGGTAAACAAACTGCAAGTCTACTCAATTTTTTTTATTTTAGAGCAATAATTAATTTTTCTGTTTTCTTTTTTTTTTTTTTCACCTACTCCCTTTCCCTTTCATTTGGTATCAGACCCTGAGCTGCTGGCACAAGACCCAGACTAGCTGATTCTAGACTGAGTGGTTCAAGGGGCAAGCACGTGACTCAAGAATCTTGGATTTTTCAGATTCGCCCAAGGACAAAGGGCTCTTTCCTCTGTGGCCCATAGAGACACGAGCCAAGAGTTCTAGCTGAAGACCCACTGCATGGAGGAAGCTGGTCTGAGAGAATAAAACCAGGACAAGCCAAATGCCAGCAGATGGCATTTGAGTCCCTGATCCCAATGAGTCCCAAAGGTTAGTTCTCTGCCTAGGCTGTCTCACAGTTTAGGCTTCATAAACCCATGAATTTCCTCTTTTTATTTACTTAAACTACTTAGCTGGATTCCTGTCACTGGCGATCAAAAGGGTTCTAACCAATACTCTTAGGAAAGGGGACGCTGAGAAATTCTTTCCAGTGGGGAATACTGTTCCCAGAGATGCGGGCAGTACAGACGTGGGTTGGAATCATGGCTCCATCACTCATTAGCTAGGCATTTACATCATCTCTCAGAGCCTCAGTTTGCTCTTCTGCAGGATGGAGGTCATGATGCTTTCCTCCCAGAATGGCTGGGAGGAAAGTCTCCTGGCATGTAATAGGTACTAAGAAATACGAAATTTTGCATTTCTTTGATAGCCCATTACCTTAAGATTTCCCTGGAAGTACACTTGTATTTACATATTAAGATTCTGAAAGTAAATATACATAATTTACTTCATAACGATGTTACTTTAGTTTTCACAGAATCAACCTCATGTAAAGACAGAACTTAAATATGTATTTTTCAGGAAAAAAAAGTCATCTCTCAGGAAAATGATTATTTTTCTTTCATGATTTCATGATTCTTTACTTGATCAAGTTGTCAGCAAGAAAATAAGATGATCGTATTTTAAATATGCCATTTTAAGAATTAAGCCTTCAAACAGGTTAGTTTTCTATTTTCTAAGTAATTGATAATATGAATTTCTCTCCTCAACTAAAAAATATGCATGAACATACCTTTCCAATTTTTCAGATAGATTGTCAGCAGAATCAGCAGAAGGGATCTGGTAAATGTCTGACAATTCCAGGCGCTGTCTGTACCCTTTCCTCAAAATTGGTCTAGTCCAGCTAAAATAAAAAGAGGAAGAACAGATATAAGTATTCACTTGATTTGGTCTCCAATACGGACTTGAAAGCTGATATCCATTCAAATTTTCTGGCATGTGAAAAACGGTGTAATGCATAAATATGAGAATAAAATAAGTCAACTTATATAAATACCAGGCTTTATATCTTACAGGACACACCTGTATAAAACATCAACACTTCTGAACTAATGTGATTGGTGCTTGTCAGAGGGATTGAAAATGATGGTACAATCCTCCCCAGGGGAAAAAACAAACTGCTAAACATTCTATATTTAAATGATCCTTTAAAAAAAAATGCCTCAAAATAACCACATACTAGGCGTTTATAGACAATTGCTAAAGTCCAGTTTCTACCACTTCAAATATAAAATGAACTGTGAAGGGAAAGAATGCAGACACTTAACCAACACCCTTACACAATTTTGTTACCATAGCACAGAGTACTTAGCAATAAACTATTTGTTGAAGGAATTGACTATACCTAGAGGGTTAATCAGTAGTTTATATGAATTTGACTTAATTATCATGTCTGAATCATTGCTTGATGGTGGGGATCATAACTTTAAGTTTTGTCTCCTCACCCCACAGCAGCTACACTCATCTGCCCTCTAGGCATCAATAAATAATAATTTATAATGGACATTAGTGACGCTGGCATGGGAAATCACTAGGCAGGATACCCCAGTTATTTTCAAATATGGTATTTCTAACTATCATGGAGAAGGCAGAATAATCTTCATAGAGATAAGAAAACCTAAAAAGAAGGAGGAGGAAGTGGTGGAGGGAGGAGAATTGTGAAATAAATACATAAATCATGTACAAACTGAAATTTCTAAATGAAATTTGAGAGAATGAGGCCTTTGTCAGGTAAAATTTCTTGTGTTTATTGAAGGAAGGAATTAAACTGGGAATTAGTGATTCCCAAAGCCACGCTTTTTCCCTCAGCATCTTTCTTTTCTACATGGAATTCTAAAATTTGGTGTCATTGAGACTTTCTTTGGTAATGAATCAAACCACCAACACTCAAAAGGGAGTGTTTTGGCAATATCTGAGAGGCAAGATAAACTCACAATTGGAAAAGTGTTCTAGCAAAGCCATTCAGAATAAAAGAAGTGCTATGCCAAATGCAAACATTTTGACTTTGTTCCAGGGCAAAGCTTTGCAGGTGGTCCTCAGGCTCCTCCTCAGGGCTCCCGCCCTAAAGGTCCAGATTCTTCTTTCCACTTCCTCGGTCTTCAGCTTCTTCAGTAGGCCCCTGCTCTGTGTTCCTGATGTCTCTACAGCGGGGCCTTCATTAAAACCTAATTGAATTAGGGCCCAGCTCTAAGGCTAAGTAACTTCAATCATTTCTTGCTAAGATATTAATGAGTGACTATGGTTTAATATGTCACATTTTCCCATTAACTTATAATATTTGCATTTTAACAAGAGCCTCTTTAACAAAGGTGATAATTAGGTTTAGTCTCCATTGCCCAGTCTGATCCATTGGCAATTTTTCCTGGAGAACAATAATGAAAATAGTTGAGCCCAGTCTGAACACAGCAGGAAAAGAAGTGATGTGATCATGCAGTGTCTGTGGTGGGCATTGTCTGAGGAAGCGATGGCACACCCACCTGGTGCACACTATTCTAGTCTCCATCACAAAGACTAGAAGGTAAAGTTGGAAATATAGGTGGCAGTTTGACTGTGAGAAAACTGGGACAGCAATTTAGGATGTAATTTAGGTTACGAGCCTTTGCAAACTTAAGCCAAGAAGTGAAAAGGTAAACCAATAAAGTGGTTGGGTGTGGTGGCACACACCTGAGTGTCAGCTATTCAGGAGGCTGAGGCAGGAGGATTGCTTGAGCCCAGGAGTTTGAGTCCAGCCTGGGCAACATAGCAAGACCTCCATCTCTAAAAAAAATTGTGTATATTTAGTACTTTCCAAAGAGCTTTCACAAACGTGAGTATACATGATTTTAATTCGAAAATCTTGATAAGTAGGTAGAACAAAAAGGTATCATTGCCCTGTTTTAAGAATAAAGAAGCAGAGGCTCAAATATGCTAAACTTATCTGAATTACTAAATAGCAAAGCCTAGTTTTTTCCACATTATTCTGACTTCATTCTGTCCTTTGCCATATTCAGCTTTCCCTATTTAAGATAATTAGGCATGGTAAGTTATACTAGACAGATAGCTAGGAGGAGAGCCTGAAAGAAGGGAGAACAAAAGACAGCAGACTGCAGGCAGTGGTGTGGTGTGCAGGCAAATATTTAATAATCCCCTCTCCAGAAAACAAAACCAAAAACTGACTTCCGGTGTTTGTCAATTTCTGTGATATAAGTACTCTCACCATGACCATTTTCAAGCTACCAAATATGAAGTCGTTGGACACAGAGTTGGGAAAAGATACACAATTGCATATTATAATATAGTGTATCTACCTTTCTGATATAATAAACACAAATAACCTTAATATTATAGTATAAATAATATTAAAATGTAAAATAAGAAGTGATAACTTTTGAATTCTTATTACCTTTGTTTCAATATAATTTATTTAATCACAAGTGTAAATAATTTCATTTTTAATAATGGCTATGTATAATAGCCAGCTCATAAATTTCCTGAAAATTTAACAATCAGTTCAGCTGGAAAGAGTCAACCGCAGTAGATCTCTGACTGCCAGATGTCTGAAAGCCTCAGAATAAGGGTAACGGCACTGTGGATGGAACGAAAGAGACCCATAGAAGACTTAGTAAAAAGGGAAATGTGCTCTACTTATTAATAAGCTTTGCATTTTCAATATGTTTGAAATTATTAAAATATGACACCAAATTTTAAAATGAGCAGAATTTCACTCTCAATATCAAACCAAAAGGCATTTTCAAGAAATTAAATAAATCTCCTCAATCTCTTTTTTAAAATATATATGGAATATTATTCAACAATAAAAAAAATGATGCACTGATACATGCTACAACAGAGATAAACCTTGAAAACATTATGCTAAGTCAAGTAAGCCAATCAGAAAACAGCACATTGTTCCATTTATATAAAATTTCCAGAATAAGCAAATCTGTAGAGACAGAAAGTAGCTTAGTAGTTTGTCTAGGGTCAGGGAGGAGGGTGGAATAAGAAGTGACTGCTATCTGGAGTTTTTTGGGGTGATGAAAGGGTTCTGAAACTGATTATGGTGATAGTTACTCAACTCTGTGAATATACTAAAAAAATCATTGAATTACATACATTAAATGGATAAGTTGGTATGTGAATTCTATTTCAATAAAGCCATTTTTAAGAACGACATCATACAGAAATCAGCTGTCAGTGTTGATTTCAGACAGTTTTACTAAGCATTTGATTTTTCACTCCTAGAACTGGTGAAATCGAAATTCTCATTACAGTGACTTTGATACTCTAAGCCCTTTCAAAGATGTTAATGCCTGGGTGGCTACTGAGAGTAATTTAAAACTATGTGCATAGCTCATGAGAAGATCTAAGGATTGGTGACAGGCAAATGCGTTGTATGAATTGTTTATTTCCTGTCCCCCAGAAGCAAGGAACTTAACTTTTAGAACTACTATGAATTCAGAAAAAAAGTGGTAATGGCGATGGTATTGTAAAGAAACCAAGGAATGTGTACTATTGGCATTGAAAGGCCACTTCTAATGGCTATACCAAATTCACTCACGTGACTTGGATTTCAGAGACTCAAGCACTTGAGAGGCAATAATAAGCAATGCTACCAAAAAAAAAAAAAAAAAAACACCAAAACCATCTATTTTGAAAGATACCAGAAGAAACAACGTATTGTGATTTATAGTCAGTGCTCATCTACTTTGGAAAAGTAGCTTCAGAGTATCTTTAGTATCTTTCCATGATTTTGGTTCGATTTTTATTCTACCTGGGCATGAAGCCACTAACAAGGGCTACAAAACTGATTGTAGCTGGAATGACTGGCTAGAAAGACAGGATGATTACCCTATAAAATTTTTGCATCCTGTATGAGTCACTTGTAGGAGCTCGTTACTAACGAAGAAAGACAAGTGCTTCCATTGCTCTCTGATTTCTGATTTTTATTTCCATTGGCAATAAGAAATATATTTGAAATCAAGAAAATAAGGAAGCAGGGAAATGGATTGGCCTTAAAATTTTACGGTAGAAATGCCACTGGGTTACTGGCTGGCATTTTTAAAAGCTCACAGACAGAAACTGTATAACTGTCAGAACCTCATCATCACAGGTTGTGGTGTTAGACAATCACATTCTAGAGAATGAAGCAGAGAAGTAAGTTTCAAGCACGCCCATTGGTAGTTGAGAGGAAAAGAAAGAAAACAAGTTCCATCTCTCTTCTGTCTAATGTAGGAACAAAATATACTTCATGTGAGTGACAAAAGGATATCTCCCACATGACATATTGATTTAACTTTGCCGGTATTTGTTTTATAATTATTCCATTTATTTGGTATTTCCTCCCTTTTTCTAGAACTCCAAATCCCTTATTAAGGCTCTTTGTTCATCTAACTTGTTCAGACACCATCACTGGGACCCAAAGTAAACACTCTGTAATGGGTTTCTCTGTCCTTTGGCAGAGAACTGTCCATGTTCTTCTATCTGAACCATGGTTGTCATTCTGGAATTAACTCAAAATCTGGAATCAAAGGTACTTAATTGTTCTCTGCTAAAGTGTTTCTTACAAGGTGGAGATGACTCTCCTCTTTTGGGGACAGATCCTCTGAGACACTCTGGGCTATGGGGTCAGGGATCTTTTTGGCATAAGCTGCTACAGGCAAAGGACATGCTACACTTTTTCATTACCTTCAACATCCAAATAATTTAATGACCCCTCACTATTTATTAAATCCTTTCTGACACTTGCTTGCAAATTACTGCCTTGAATTGACTTTTCTCAAAATTAAAAAAGAAAAAAATATGTAGTGTAATTCCACCTGACATATTTTGCTTGAGAATTTATATTTGTTTGCTTACTTTGCGTGATAACTGGAATAGTACAATGGAGGCTGGAAGCAACCTCAGAAGTATTTTAAGATGAAGATGATTAAGAATTAATACACCAAGGATAACACTGAAAC